TTATTGCGGAGCCATCTAAACATCTCCAATTTGAATTCTCTCTTTTATATAAATGTAAATCTTTTTTAAAGAAAAAAACAATTATTTTTCTATAAATTTACTAATAAAAATTATTATCATGCATGACTTACTAGAATTTGCAACACCACGAATATTTTCAATTTGTTCTGCATATATAATTTGCATGTGAGAACATTTTAATAATAGTAAAGATGATGCAATTATTATCTGTAAATTATTCGATAAAAACTTCATTTGAAAAAATTTTAATTCGTGATCTGTGATAGACAGCACCATACATGAAGTCGAAACGATTTAATTTCGGGGGTCTAATACTAAATGGTCGAAATCGATTTTGGCCATTTTAATTTCGACTTTGACCCCAAAAAAGTCGAAATGGTCATATCACCTGATTTATTAAATTAATAATTTCAAATCATTTATCTTGAGAACCAGTGATCCAAATTTAATGAAACACGGCTCATTAGAATAGCCTCATAAAGGCGATTCGAAAAATGGTAATTTAATGTCCTTAACATCAATAAATGGCGAGTTATTGTAATATTATGGTAAACCAAAATACCTCAATGATCAGTGAATTAAATCTCATTGGACTCACTTCATTGAGACAGTTGTTTTATTCAAAATAGCCAGATAATGACCAAGTTATGAGGATTTGGAGCATTTGATTAATTTTCTGTATGCTCAGCTTGTTGTATGATGTAATTCGACCATTTTGACTTTTGATCCAACTTTGATCTCTTAGGTCGAAATATTTTGACTTTTGGGGTTTCAATTTTGACTTCACGTATAGACATCACTATTTTAGCAAAAAAAGGGGTACATAGTACCCCAGATTATTGTAATTGAGGTAACATCCAGGTCCCTCGTTTTTTTTTATATTAAGAAAACAGGGTCTAATATCTTTACCAACATGGTATTATGTAAAAAACACAAATTTGATCAAAAGACATGGGGTTGTTTTTGCTGGAGACAGTCCCATTTGAAGTAATTTGTCAATAATTTAGTATTAGTAATAAGCAGGGTCTTTAGAAAATTTATTTGAATAGAAAAAGACACAAAACTTTCTATATCAATTACAATTTAAAATTTTTGCTTTGTAATTTCATGACATAAAAATTGCTTTACCTGATTTTGGATATGACTTGTAATAAAAATTTCTATACCCAAAATAGTCACACCACTTATTTTCATAAAAAACTTTATCAAACTGGATGCTGCTCATGCATCAGTCAAAACAAGATTCTTACGTCGTGAAAATTAAATTGACCAAAACAATGTTGTGCTATTACTATTACTATAATACCTTATTATTTATAGATAAAACAAGTTTTTAAAGTTTTTAAACCGAAAACGTAACAGTGACTTTTGCGAAATTCTAATTAATCAATCAGAATTTTTAAAAAAAATATTATAAGCATACAGTTCGCTATCTTTATAACGAATACTAAGTAGACTTTCTATAATTAACTTCCCTTTTCCTGATTCATTTTTTTATAATAATTTCTCTCTATAACAAACATATTAGTAAGCGTTCGCTATAACGAACAAAGGCAGAAAAATTACATATAGGGACGGAAGGTTTGTTATAGAGAGTGTGAACTGTATACATGATATCAATCAAGGCTTGTACCTTTCTTTTTAAACCATTGTTGATTTAAGAAATTTAATCTTTTACAGATAAAAAAACAGATTGCGCTACATTTGTTTAACATACTTAATACTAACTTTCCAAGTCGTGAAATGCATACTAGAACCCAGTTTCATGTTGGCTTCAACATCTAGCTCAGCAACATCGTCTTCTTTACAAATTGCACTATTTAATTCATCCCAATAAATATAATGTTCTTTACAAAATTATTTTTCATTTTCAAAAAGCTCATTATATTCTTTGATTAATAAAAAAAAATAATCTTTATGACTTTCTCTTTCAGAGTTAGCCAGAGCACTGTTATACATTTCATAATTAATTTTATATACAACGCCCCTTCTTCCTGATGATAATAATTTATTAAATGTCATTTTAATATCTTTTTATGAATTTATTTGGAAAAAGATGAAATTATTAGTGAAGAAATCGAAAAAAGTTTTTTTTGAGAATAGTAATTTTGTTTTCTGTGCAAACAAAATAAAATTGTACGCATTTATTTTTTAATTTTTATAATAATAAGCAACTTTAATATTCACCGTTTTATTGCAAAAGATTTAAGTGTTCATCTACACACATCCACTTAGCATAGTTTTGGTGATGTTTTTTGGCACAAATCTTCTTGGAGAAGGATCAAGTATAAAATGCAGTGATATATATATATAAGACGGGATGTGAAATATTCAAGCAGTTTATTCTTTGTGATTTAGATGGGTCGATTCCGCTTTTTTGTTATTGTCGCCTTCAAACATGAGTTTGTTTTCGTATGTCATTTTCAAATTTTCTTAAATTTTTGTTGTTGTGACATTCTTCAACACACTTAATTCTAACTTTCCAAGTTATGAAATGCATACTAGAATCCATTTTTATATTAGCTTTGACATCTGGCTCCTCATTCCTCAGTAACATCACTCACTATTTTCAAGAATGTTCTCTAAAAACGTGATGATTAGTATAAATTCGTTTTCGCCGAATGATATTACAACCACTAAATTCTGCTTGTGAGAACATTGTGCGGCTTTCCCAAAATCGATCCCTTAAAAGGTTTGTTTTGCATGATGAGGATAGTAGATTAAATCTATTGAACAATAAAATATTATAATTTCGAATGTAATAGAAAATTTTGCTTATTTCAACACCTCCTCGTACCATATGAGTTATTCTGCGGCGTCTGTTTAGTAGATCGTCCAAATTAAAAATGTTAATGGTAGATCACAAAAAAGTTTAAAACTCAAAAAATGTTTAGAAACACTTTTCAGGTAATAATAAAATAATTTTATAAGAAAGAATCTATTAATTATTTATTAATTATTATTATTTCTTGATATACAAGTCAGGTTTCCTTTCTATACTATACAGCATTGGGTAAGAGTAAATAAATTTTATCTATAAAATTTTCTGTTATGTACACATACATATATAACGTTTTATTATATGAGGTGTGAACAATAAAACACACCAAATGTCAATAGTATTACCATTGGTATTTGGTGTGTTTCTATTGTCTGCACCCCTTATGTGCTTCATTCTTATATACTATTATTTATTGTCCTCTCAAATAAATTCCTAGTAACAAACCTCTCCAAATTTGGCATACCGAAACTGACAAAGACTACCAAGAAAGTCATGTTACATGTATAATTGATGAGGATATAAATTCCATGGTCATTGAGATTACCTCGCCAAATGTTGCCACCACATATATAACTTGTCCTGCTCAACTTAATCGAACTCTTGGTATAAAACTACCAATCCTTGTTTTTATAGTTAAAAATATGAAAAAATATTTTACTTTTGAAGTTCAAATATTGGATGATAAGAACATTAAAAGAAGATTTAGAGCATCAAATTATCAGGTAATAATTATCTTTTTCTCATATATTTATTTATTTATTAGAAATAACTTTTATTTATTTTTTTTGGTAATTTTAGTCAGTTACTCGTGTAAAACCTTATATTTGTACAATGCCAATGCGTTTAGATGAAGGATGGAATCAGATTCAATTTAATCTTGCTGATTTTACACGTCGTGCTTATAGCACTAATTATGTTGAAACATCAAGAGTACAAATACATGCTAATTGTAGATTAAGAAGAGTATATTTTGCTGACAGAATTTATGCTGAAGAAGAATTGCCTCCTGAAATGAAATTATGGCTACCAGTTGATAGGCAATAATTTCTCTTTATGTAAATTTTCATCAAGTATAATTATTATTTCAAGGTCTTTATAAAATCATTGTAATTAAACAAAATAAAAAATTTTATTAATCCATTAATTTACATGTCATCTTGAAACTTGAAATAAATCTATTTTGTTTGAAAAAAAAAACATTGCCCATTTGTTAATATGGAGGCTTTTCAATAGAAAAAACCCACTCATGATCTAAACCAATTTTTGAAAATAAAGATCTGCATTTCATGGAATTTACATCTCAATATATACAAAGCGGGTATGATTTCTCATCCAAAAATATTTTAAGCAAATAGTTGTATATATACTGGTGGCATTAACACAAAATTGATTTTTTCATGCTGTGGTCTTTTTCTATTGAAAGGCTTCCATAATGTCAACACACTTTTAACATTAATATTAAAATATTCAATTTGTCTATATAGATAATAATAATCTCAAGTGACACAAACTTGATTTTTTTTTTTGTAAATAATGAGGAAATGTAAGTAGGTTTATTTATGATTTATATTATTAATTACATGATGAACCATTAGAGCACCCAGCTCATTTTGAATGTAAATTTTAACATGATATAAAATTTATACTGATAATTTGTTAGGTTATATACATATACATTTTTGTGCGAAATTCAATTACTAACACAATTTATTATATTAATTCAAGATACATTGAGAAATTATAGTTAATTATTCGTCTTATACATTATCAACATGGTGAAGAATACAAAGAATTGTTTAAAGAAACAACAGCAATAACTTCAGGGAATAAGATATATTTGATAAGTATAGCTTCCTTATCCTTTTAACATGTGAAATATACATATAGCTTAATCAGTCTATTTTTTTCTAATGAAATATATATTTATTATTTCAAAGAAATAAAAACAAACAAAATAAAAAAACCAAAGTTTTTTTCATATAGTAAATTGGTGGTTATTAAATTTTGAGAGATTTCTCTTGGGATTAAATCATGAATTATTTATTGATTTTTTAAAATTAATTTGAATTATTGACATATTCATTTTTAATTGTTTATTATGTAAAATGATAATAATAAAATAACATTTAAACATTAGAAATAAAATCAATAAATAAATTAAAAATCATTTGTTGATCTAAAATAAAATAAAATAAATTTAATATGGAGGCAATCCATATTTGCTTGGATCAAATAATTCAAGGGAATCAAGTTTTTCTGTTTCCCCATAGTTTTTAGGATACAACTCAACTAAACAAGGATCAAGAACCCAAACAACCTTAATAATAATGATAATGTTAATAGCCATTTATATATAATATATGAATGTATAAATAACAACTTACATGCATTCCTGCATTTAAAGCAAGCTTTAACATCATTGATAGCATCTTCAAATACTAAACAATTTTCTACAGATGGATTGCCCAATTGTTTACATGTATTTTGCTCAATTGATCACAAAAGTACTTTAAAGACTGAGATTTTCTCAATTCTTTAATTGTACCTGAATGACTGTCTATTAATTTATCAAGATAGTCTAGGATTCCTGGATAAAATTTATGTATCATAAAATTTTCTATGTCATCATTAAACTTATCTGCTAGACTTTTGATAAGATTGTTTGACTCAGGAGCAATAGAAATACTAGATTCTGGTTTTTCCAAATAAGAAATTTTCTTGGCCATTCTGTTCCTTAAGAATCTTAAGAACCATTTCTCATTTTCTTCAAGTTAAGGATCTCATTTTTTGTTACACCAGACATAACCCTTTAACTAACTTATCCTATCTGTGTTTTTAAAAGTTTCTCAATAATAAGATTTACATCATGATCCTAAATTATAAAATTGCATCGCGATGTAAAACAGGTACCATTGCACAACCTTATTGCGATGTACATAATTTTTTAACATTTCGCATCGAATTTTATTGTATTAAAAATTAAATAAAAATAAAAAATATATATTAATATGTAAATTCAATTTGAAAAAATTATATAAACATAGCGAACAGAAGAACCGTTCTGGCAAAATTTTAACCCATGCAATTATTGATTGACCAATCAAAAATCATGAATTTGATAATGCAAAAATAAATGTTGATTTGATTCATTTTGTCAACAATCACTTCACCAACAATTGTTTTGTCAACAAATAACAAATAGTTCGAATTTAAGAATGGAAGAAACCATACGACAAACCTTTGAAATAGTCTAGCTAATTAAATTGTACTACTCGAAAATATATTTAAAGGGTTGGTTTTCGACTTGGTTGAAGAATAACTCTCTTCCTAACTCTTCTCTTGACCATATCTCTCGATATAATAAAAATAACCTTAATATAATGAATGTCTACGAAATGATTGTAAACACAACCATTATTTAAGATATACGATTAAGACAAAACATGAATGATGTATGAAAAAATCAAATTTATTTAATAAAAACAAAATTTACCAAAAAAAATTTTTTTATTGCATGCTCTAATAAAATGTCCATTGTTACTGCACCATGTGACGTTACCCAGATCACCAACAACTGTATTTTCGATATTTCGATATTTTCAATAAACTCATTTTCGTTTAATCTTTTCGTCGTACTTTCTTTTAGTAAGTTGAGATTTTTTTTGATTTCGACTTGAAGATATCAAACATTTAGATTGGCATCTTTGTAGACAATGATTGTAATAACCATGTCCACACACAAGTACACTACAATTATTCAAATTAGTATAGTTAGTGTAATCACAATATATGCAATCGCAAAAAATGTTTGTATATGGTTTTCTAGAAGTAACAAAGCCTCTTGGAAGGTGACGTTCGGTTATTTCTTAAACTAAAGAAGGCAATTTGTATGAGTTAATATCATTAGATGAAGTTTTAACAATCAAAGGATGCTGATTTCGTGCTTGATATATCTTCGTAAACACATCTAAAAGCAATACAGCGGAATGCATACACAATTGCTTCGGTGTATATGGATAATTCATAGAATCTATGAAATGTTGTCGAAAAGTATTATCCTTTCGATGCTGAAAATAAAACGTGCCTTCTTTTTCAGTTGTTGTCCAGTGAAAAACTTAGTCATACGTAGAGATGGGCAAATGGCGTATAGTTGAACACTATACGACACTATACGATACTTTACGTATAGTGCGTATAGTACGT